GGTAAAAGCCCCAGGAGCACACAGATTTTGAGCTGTAATCTGCATGGTTACCTGGTCGGTAGGAAGGAGAGAAACCCCAACCGTTTCCTGATTTTAGAAACACTTAGGAGTAGTGTATACTATAGTAGAAAGGTAGTACTGTAGTGTAGTAACATTCGTCTCTCCTCATTTTGGTTGCCTTTCAGATTCTGAATGTTTGGGATCATTCCTAGCATCTCAGCCTCTTCAGGCTCTTTATCTAGCATTTTCCTGGTTCTGTACCTTTATCCCAACTGGTATTTCCTCTTTCTCATTTTGGGAACTACTAAGAGCTCCAAGAATTGCCTGAGGTTGACAGCCTAGGCTCGGAGGTCCCTTCCTGCTAAAGGGCCCTAGACAAATACTGTTGGATAGACATGAAGCTTCTGAGACGTAGCAGCTCACAGAAACATTCACCTGTTCCATCTGAGGATCTCAGTTCTGAAGTGATCTAGACATGTTTGGTAAAGATGTTTTTGTGGGAGTTGTTTCTCTTTTTTTCTTTTAAGAAAGAAAGCATTATGCAAAAAAGGTCACTTTTAAGGGCATTTCAAAATTTTTAAATAAAGCCATTCTTTGGCTTTTTGGACAACTATTTGTGGATACTGTGTTTACATTGTGGGTATTAAAACGTGCATCATCTTGATGGCCGCTCAATCTCCTCCTCTTCCAGGCACCCAGCCCTGGCTGTCCCGTGAGTCCTCACACAGAGCATGGCCATAGCGGTCAGCCCTCATGGGTCAATGGGGAAACCTGGAGCTGACTTCCATCTGTGTCCTGCACTCCCATCCAACACTCTGTATGGAAATAGTTGTCATTTTCTCAGTGATGGCGTCTTATAGTGATGGTCGTAATGGTGAATGGCTAGTGTCGTTTTTGTTTCATTTTGTTTTGCTTTTTGATGGTGGATGAGATGAAATTTTAGCTCTTTCAGCACCAATCCAACTTAAAAATATCTTGGACTTTGTTTTCCCTTCCAAACTAAAAGATCAGGCATGTGTTAGGCATAAATGTATTTGCTGCCTCAACTCATCCGACACCTGTGTTAGGAAAAAGCAGGAAGCTGCACACTCCTAACCCTTCTCGCCGGGCTGGGGTCCTTTGATGCTATGGAGAGTGACTGCAAGGTGCTTCAGTACTTTTCCAGCCCGGAAGTGGAGGGTGACTGGGCCTGGCTCCTCCTGTGGAAAGAGAACCAGCCTCATTTTCTCAGTGCCCCAGAGACCTAGGACAGGATTTCTAAACTGGAATCATCCCCCATTGGCTTGAAGATGCCTCAAGGGGTATATGACTGTGCTGCCATCTGTGTCCTCACAGCGACCCTGGTGGCAGCATCCTGTATACACATGCAGAGCTTATACCCAGGGCTTAACTTGAGCTGATGACCCAACCTGAAAACTGGGGAACCGGCCCTGAAATGTTTCCCAGCCAGTAAGCCCACAGGGAATTGTTTGGTTTTTATGTTTTACTGGATTTTGGTTTGCTTGGCATAGCTTAAGGTGCCTTTTTTTTTTTTCTTTCTACTTTATTTTGTAAGACTTGTTCTAAATGTGGAAAGCAAGTCCAAAAGACTCTCCCACTGACTGTTACCTTTACCCCAGGCCACCCCAAACTTTTATGCTCGCATTTTATTAAAAGCAGGTGCTCCCTGGAATCTCTGGGACCTTTTTGAGGCATTTGAAGCAGAATATAGAGTGGTCTCATCTCCTTCCTTAATCTTCCTGGTGGTTGGGATGTTCCACTTGTATCATAGATTTTTTTATTACTGATGTGCTCCGCTGTTTTTAAATGTGAACTTGTGCGCAAATGTGCAGATCCAATGTTCTTGTTACAGATTGAATAAATTTTTATTTTGAAGATGAAACACGTGTACTTGATCAAGTGCAACAAAGGAGGGGGGTGCTGGAGAAGGTGGAGGGGTTGGAGGAGAACACTGATGATAAACGTGGAGCAACTCTCATTGGTTGATTCTCCATCAAGCACACCCTTAAGAGAGAGCTTAGCTCTGGGGGAAAAAAAACACAACTTTCTACCTCCCACAAAATAGACTAGATGGGAAATAGGATCACTAAAGATTATTTCAGACAGTGTGGCTCCGGTCAAGTGACCAGGCTGGGAATTTGCCTGGTCAAAGAGGCTCTTGCCAAAGCCACCACCTGAATGTTTGGAGAATGAATAAGCAAAGGGACCAAAATCCCTCTGCCATCTGTGGTACGGAGTGACTGCTCTGGGACAGCTGCTGTGACCTGCCCCAGCAGGAACTGGGTTTCTTGGGTGAGTGACCTCTCTGGTCACTGGTGAGACAGAGCTCACAAGCTTTCAGCACAAGCCACCTCAGCTCACTGATAAGGTTCTAGAAATGGAGCATGACTTTCCAAAGAAGTAAGAGCTTTCAACCTTTCCTGCCTTTAGAAGACAAGCATCTGATGTCAATAGTGGAGGAAGGGAGGTGGGGCCAAAGGGCAGTTCTCTGAAACAGGCTGGGGTAGGGGTAGAGGTTCCCCACTTCTCTCACCCCTCCACAGACCCATCACGAGATATTTAGTGGTGCCCTTGATCGCACACAAGGCAGCACTACTATCTAGGGAAAGCTCAGTTTCTAGTTTCCAAATTACTAACAAAACAATTTGCTGAAGTTTCCAGAGAAAACACTGCCTTGAACTAAATGAAGTCGGCCTGCTTCATTCTGAGTCATCCATACCAAGTGGGAGGGACACCCCTCTGGTCTCCAGGTGGAGTGCCAGAGTGCATGATGGTGAAGGCAAGGTCATTTCACAAAATACTCTAGGGGTGCCTGGAGTCCCTGATCAGTCTAGATAAGCTCAGTCTTGGCACTCTAGCCAAAGCAAATAGACCACCATGCCACCTCTTCCAGAAAATAGCTAAAGGAAATCCATGCCTGTCTTCCATGGATTGCAGTTCAGAGGCTAGCTAACAGTTCAAAGAGGTAACAGCAAGGGAAAGCACCAAGTCCAAGTGGCTTCTTCCCCTGATTGGTTCTCTGTGCCTTGGCTGCGCCCACCCACAGCTCTGCCAGGCCTTGGCAGCCTGAAGAAGGCCAGAGGGCAGGGCTGAGGCAGGCCAGGTCCAAGCAATACCTGTGAATCCCTGGTCCTGTACCTGGAGAGCACACCCCCAAGCCCCCACCCCCAGATAATGGAACTGAAGGCAGGATGGAGTGAAAGATTACTGACACCTAGTCTCAGACCCTTCCCTCTAGAAGGGAGTGCCTAGCTCTCTTTAAAGAGGAGGAAAGGAGAGGGAGAAGAAAAGATGCCATTTCAGGATAGGAGGCAGCATATCAAATCCCTTCTCTGCCAACAAATGGTGCAGAGTTGGAAAGAATCTGACCCAGCCCGCTTCATTTTACAGCCTAGAGAGCTGCAAAAATAGAGTGATAGAGCCAGGGTTGGAACTCTAGTTTTCTAATTAGTCCAGGCATCCTTTCCTCTGTGCCACAAAGCATAACTCAGTATCAGCACTTGTGAGAGAAACTGGCACTGTCCTTCAAGGAGTGCATGGTGCTGAAACGCATGGACCTAGACACCAGACGACTTGGGTAAGAATCTCATCTTCACCAGCTACCAGTTGAGTGATGAATGAGCTACTTAACTTCTTTGTGCCTCAGTTTCCTCATCTGTAAAATAAGGATGATAACAGTACCCATCTCAGAAGGCTGTTATCAGAATGGAATTAATATGTGTAAAGCCCTTAGAACAGTATCTGGCACATAGTAAGTGTGGGCTATTGTTACTAAGGAGCAACTGAGTCACTCAGGTCTTTCCCTCCTAATCATGTGTCTGAAGTCTTTAGGTAAAAGGCAGATTCCTCATCTAAACTTATGGCCTCCCATGCCACAAATTATTTCTGGAGCACCTGTAACAGTTTCTGATTCTGTTCCCCTACAAGGCACTGAATACTTGGAATCTTCCTGAGAAACAAAGGGGCCTTCGAGGTTCCCACCACCTTCCCTCCCCTTTACCCCCAATGCTGACCTCTGCCCTCCAGAAGGCTGCGTTTCATTGATGCCCATGTGTGCCCTGTAGAGTGGGAAGTAATAACTGGCCTCCAGGGCCTTATGATCCAAAAGAAGAAATCCAGGCAGTGGGGAGGGCGCTGAGTAGACAGCACCTCTAGGGACTAGCTCTTCTTCACTGGCTGTATTTATCAAGGTCCTTTTTATCTCCCCCTTAACCTTGGTCAATACTCAGGTCCGCGGGTCCTGGCGGGGGTGGGTGCGGGGACTTCACTGGAAAAGTCAGGCACCCATTCAAACAAGGCCCAGAAGACTTCAGGAGTCAGGTTGGGCGTCTGAAATTTGATTGGCCAAAGACCTGTGCCGGCCGCTTCTCCTTGAACCTGGTGTTCCCAAGGGTTTAAAGTGGGTTCACTTTTCTCCCTGCCCCCCCACCAGTCTTCAGGCTGCTTTCTGACCTGCTCAATGGAATCCTCTCTAACGGGGTGAAATGACTAACACAGTGCCAGCGTTTTAGGTTCTCAAGTGGTCGCTATCGCTATTAACAACAATAACTAACATTTACAGCCCTCTGTCGAGTACCCTCGCAGCTGCCCTGTGCCATCCTAGGCCCTCATCCAAGGGCTGAGACTACTCCCCGAGAGCATCTTCCGGGACCTCTCCCCAGGAGCGTCTGGACGTGCAGTCCCGCAGCCCCGGCCGGACGGGAAGGGCTAAATTGGGAGTGCGATTGCAGCAGGAATGCGGCGCGGAGGCACCCGATCTTGCGCGGCTGTCGGCTCCCTCTCTCAGCGCCCAGCTCTGGGTCTGGGAACCTGGGCCTCCTCAGCCCACCGGGAGGCGCGGAGGGCGGGAAAGGAGAGCGCACACCCAGTGCGCACTGGCACAATTACTTTTCACGCTTCTCCCAGGCCGGCGGCCCAGCCGCACCGAGCCCGCACCGCTCGACTTTCCCGCCGCTGGAGGGGGCGGGGCAGCTCTAGTCCCGCCCCCTGGCTAGGCCCCGCCTCCGCAGGTTGATGGCAGCGGCAGCTGGGACTGCAGCGGCGCCCGGCCCCGGAGAGCCGCAAGCAGCGGCCCGAGCGCTCAGCCGAACACCCGGGCCCCAGACGCCGCCGACACCCGGAGAGGCAGTTCCGGCGCCCTGACGCCTCCCTGGGCCCCAGGCGCAACCCCAGCCCCCTCCGCAGAGGAGTCGCAGCGTGAGCGCCCCTCGGCCTGCTCAGGACCAGGTACCACCCCCGCCACCACCGCCACCCCTGCAGCCAGCGGAGCGGGCGGGGTCTCTGGAGGGGGCAGAGGTCTGCGCTCCCTCCCCCTGGCCGCCAAATTCTGTCCCGGCGGGGCTGACTTGGTGTCTATATTTGGCCGGACAGCGGCCCGCGCGCCCACAGGGCGCAGACACCTCGTCTCGCATAAACGCAATGCCGGGGCAGGAGGCGGAGGAGGGTGTGGGGAGGCCGGGCCTCAGGCCTGGGGCCGCAGAAGTGCCGTGAAGGGCACAGGGATGCCTGGGGCTGGGGAGGAGCAGGAGTCAGTGGCTGGAGCTTGGGAAAGCTCGGCGCGTCCTCTGGGGAAGAGCGCAGCGCAGGCCTGGCTGGAGAAAAGGAACCTTACCCTCCCCATTCCCTCAAATCTGGCCCTGGCCGGGCGTCAAGGACCCCACCCTAGGAGAGTTTAGTAGGAGAGAGGACCCAGAGGAGATGCAGTACCAAAGTAAGGCAGGCGAAAGCCAGAAGACCATGGTCAGGGCCTCTTGGAGAAAGCCAGTGCAGAGAGGAGTGGAAGGAGAAGAGATCCACCTTACACTGGTGTCCCCCAACAACATGGGAGGAAATTGATGAAAGCAGTAGCAGGAAGGACTCAGGTTAGCTGACAGTAGGAACTTCTTGGCAAATTTTTAGAAAAAAGCAAGACCCCATCTGCCTGAAGTATGCTAGAGATGAGGAGTGTAGGATGTTGGGGGGCAGCAGTCCTAGCCCCACAGCTGGCCTTGAGCCAAGGCCTCTGATTCTGAACAAGGTGCCTCTGGGAGATAAACCACTTCCGTGAAGAGATGCTCATCCAAGGCTGGCAGTGGGAGAGCAGCCTGGCGCTGAGGCTCCTCCCCAAACCACTTTAACTTCCAGAAAGCTTTCAGGCCCAGCCAGGCTCCAGTGTCGCTCCAGCCTGGGTCTCTAAGGAGAAGTCAGGCTCCAAATCCTAGCCCCTCGCATTAAGCAGCACTCTATAGGTGGCAAAGAATTTTTCCATACTTTAGTCATCTTGAAGAAAGCTCCCTGCTTCTAGGACCAGACTCTATATTAATTTATACCTGACTCCTGGCCAGATAACCTTTCTCACTTGCCCCCTGCCCCCTACTCTTCCTCCCTCCCACAGCTCACAGGACTAAGGACCAAAGGCATTTCTGGGCACTGAGATCCTCCCTCTCTGCCCCCAGACATGAGCCGGCGCGTGGTTCGGCAGAGCAAGTTCCGCCATGTGTTTGGGCAGGCAGCAAAGGCTGACCAGGCCTACGAGGACATCCGTGTGTCCAAGGTCACCTGGGACAGCTCCTTCTGTGCCGTCAACCCCAAATTCCTGGCCATTATTGTGGAGGCTGGAGGTGGAGGTGCCTTTATCGTCTTGCCTCTGGCCAAGGTGAGGGATGAGGGGAAACACGCAGGCGGGAGGACAATGGCTGTGGCCCCTGGGGACTCTTACAACAGCCTGTGTTCTCACGTAGTTCTGGTCCTCAATCAAGAGGGCAGTTTGTGTGGATTGGCTGCTCCCTGTCCCCAAGCCCTCAGGGACCAACCTGGAGGTCCCCTCACCCCTCCCAGAACAGCACCATCATGGTGGCCCGCACCCACTCCTAGTCCATCCTCTTCACACGGCACCCTGTTCCCAGGAGGGACCAGGAGGGAGTGATGGAGATAGCTGGGAAGCGGTGGAGCCAAGACCTGGCCAGATTCTGTTCCTCTCTCTCCTAATGCTGTACCCCCTCATGTTTTGGGTGTGGGGATCTCTCTCCTCAGCCCAGGGCAACCATTTGATTAAATCACACCCCAGAGCAGCACACTGAGAACAGGGTCAAGCTCTATCCAATGAGTCCCTGGCCACTTCTGCACTCTGGTTCTTGCAGTGAGGCAAAGGGCAGGGGGACCTGACACAGAAGGCCAGAGCCCTCCCTACCGAGGGATGAGGGCCAGGCAATGACCTCCACCTTCGCTAGTAGCCTTAAGCCCCTCAGCCATCTCCATGTCTAGGATGGCCACCCCAAAGCATGACCTTGACCTGGATTCTGCCCCTACACCTTGTTAGGTGAGGCCCCACAGGTGGCAGGGTCAGGAAGAGGCCTGACAATAGCTAGTGACTCACACCAGGACAATGCAGACACCATCCAAGGACACCATCCCAAGGGCTCGAATTTCAGCTGGAGCCACCTCCGCCCCCAGGACAAGTGCCATTCCAATGCCACCCGGCCACCCCTCTCTCCTACTACCTCGTCTGGGCCAATGCCAGCCCCAGGAAAGGCCTCAGAACCCCTACAAACAGCCCATAAAGACCAAAAATAGATGAGCCCTAGCACAGCTTGGGGGATAGCAGGCACCAGGAGTGCCTGCTGCTTGTGGTTCCAAGGTACAGCCAGTGACAAGGGGGAGATCTGCCAAGGGCGGCTAGGAAAGGGCTGTTGGGTACTGCGCTGCGTATTACCTCACCTTGACATCTTCCACCAGGGGCTTCCCATAGACATTCCAACTGGGGGAACAGGCCCAAGAACAGCCTCCTCCAAGCAGGTGTTTTTGGAAGAGCACTGGACTGCAAGTTCAAGTCTTGGCTCTACCTGTATCTTGCTGTGTGTCCTTGGTTAAGTCATCTTACCTCTCTGTGTCTAATTCCCGAATATTAAAAGACTTCAACTCTATCTGCTTTCAGTGAAGTACAGGAGGTAGGCTGGAGGGGTTGGAGATTCAGAGAGGGGTCTGCAAAGAGAAAACTGATGATGGAGAACTGAGATGTAAACAAATCCGCTGCCCACCCCAGAAAAAACACACAGGAGAGTGGCCCCACATCTCCCTCTCTGACCCCTCCAGACAGGGCGTGTGGATAAGAACTTCCCACTGGTCACTGGGCACACTGCCCCTGTGCTGGACATCGACTGGTGCCCACACAATGACAACGTCATCGCCAGTGCCTCAGATGACACCACCATCATGGTAGGAGCCAGGCGGATGCTGCTGGGCCGTTGGGCAGGGGAAGCAGGGAGGGCTGCCTCACCTGTGCTAGGGAAGGTGGTAGAGGAGCTGCTGGGTCCCAAGGCCCTGCCCTGCCCAGCTCCCAGGCTATTTTTAGCTACATGCTCACCCCCTCCCAGGATGCACTGCTTAGGACTAATTATAGCCGTGGCCAACTTGGGGCCTGAAGAGCAGGGGGCAGTGCTCTGAACTCTCCCTGCAGGGGTGAATAGGGAGGTCTCTGGAAAGCTGGCAGTGCCCCCTCCTGACTCCCAGCTGCTTCTGTCCCAGGCAGGCGCCATTACCTCTTGCCCTGCATTTGACCCTTTACCATTCAAGAGAGCCAGTAGGGTTGGGGGTGGGTGGGTAGGGGAGTTGTAGAGGGAAGGGACAAAGCCGGCTCCTCATCCCACCCACCCTACGTCTTTTCCTCCTACCCAGGTGTGGCAGATTCCAGACTATACCCCTGTGCGCAACATTACAGAACCCATCATCACACTGGAGGGCCACTCGAAGCGTGTGGGCATCCTCTCCTGGCACCCCACTGCCCGAAATGTCCTACTCAGTGCAGGTCTGGCAGCCTGGGGAGGGGTCCCTACTGTAGATGTGGGGGATAGAGGAGGGGTTTGGAAAGGTAAGGCGCAGGTGACGTTGCCTGGCCACTCTGGGCAGGTGGTGACAATGTGATCATCATCTGGAACGTGGGCACCGGGGAGGTGCTCCTGAGTCTCGACGACATGCACCCTGACGTCATCCACAGCGTGTGCTGGAACAGCAATGGGAGCCTGCTAGCCACCACCTGCAAGGACAAGACCCTGCGCATTATTGACCCCCGCAAGGGCCAGGTGGTGGCGGTGAGTGCCCGGTCTGGCCGCTCCCCAGCCTTTACTCCTGGGACCAGCTGTCAGGCCCCTGTCCCCGTAGTCCTCTGAGCCCCCGGTTCCAGTTCTCACCTCCTCCACCCTAACTGCAGAGACCAATCCTCCCCCTCCGTGTCTGGAACCACAGCTCCCTACCCTAAGGAAGCCCCCAGCTTTTCTTTGCCCCGCTCCTCTTCCCTCCCCACTCCCCCCCCCCTCCACCCCACGCATCTCAGAAACTCACAGGCGGGCTCCTCTATTTGTGAGTGAGGAGAGGAGAAGCTGCAAACCCTATTCTCCCCCACGAACCTGCATGAAACCTGAGCTCTCGGACCCCTTCTCCTCTCAGCCGGCACCCAGCGCCATCTCCCAGGGTCCGGGGCCTGTCGCTGGCTCACGGGCAGTTCCCTTTCCGCCCTAATTGACGCGCTGGGCAGGGATAGGGGGCACCTCTCGCGCTGGGTGCCCTGGGAGGGCGGCGGCGTCTGCCTCACTAGCCTCCGTCTAACGCGGGGTGCGGGGTGCGCGGGGCACGTGCATGTATGCGCCGAGTGCGCGCGTCGAGCGTGGCCGGGCAGGGGCTCTAACCCACTAACCCCGCGAGCAGGAGCGAGCCCGGCCTCACGAGGGCGCCCGCCCGCTGCGGGCGGTCTTCACCGCAGACGGGAAGCTACTCAGCACCGGCTTCAGCAGGATGAGTGAGCGGCAACTCGCGCTCTGGGACCCGGTAGGCCAGGCCGCGCCGGGCGCGCCGGGCGCGCGCGCTCGCTCCTTCGCTGGGTCAGCCAGGAGCGCCCTCCCAGGCCGTGGCCCGTGCCCAAGAGGGCTGAAGCGGAGCGGGGAGCTCCCGTCTGGGAAAAGCCTCGCTGCGACCCCGGGGAGCCAGCAGACGTCCCCTGCTCTAGGGATCAGCCTCTGAGGGCGCTTAAGGGCTCGGGATCTGGACGTTCTCCAGGCCTGGGGCCAGCCAAGGCCCCCCCAGGAAGCTGAGTACTTAGGCTCCCTTTTGTCTCCCTTCCCACCCTTGCGCCCCACACCCAAGTCAGCAAGCTGGTTGCTCAGCCCGCCAGGATCCTCAGGGCAGGCAGCGGGGTGACGCCTCTCCCTGTCTCCCCCCTACCCTCAGGAGAGGTTTGCGGCCCACGAGGGAATGAGGCCCATGCGGGCGGTCTTCACGCGCCAGGGTCATATCTTCACCACGGGCTTCACCCGCATGAGCCAGCGAGAGCTGGGCCTGTGGGACCCGGTAACGCAGCTGGAAGCTTGGGGTGTGTGCCCCGGGGACTGGCATCACGGGAGAGGGGCCAGGCGCCCCCCACCCGCAGGGCATGCCCACCTGGACAGGGCTGGAGGCTGCTGCCCCCTTTGCAGCACCTGCCATCCCCACACCCACCCCTCTGCCCAGTTTTGCTGCGTCGCCCGAAGGAGCCCACGCTGGCGCCCCCGCCTGGTGATGCCGAGTCCCTGGGGGTGGTTTGCTGTGACTGCATGCGGCGAAGCAGGGGGTATATGTGCGGGGGACTGGGAGCGATGTGTCCAGGGGCGGGGCCTGCAGTTCCGTTCACCAGAGCTGTCTTGGGAACGCATGGGGTTTGGGGCGGGCAGGAAGCGTTAAGGGGCTTCAGGGGATCCAGAAGTGGCACAGAGGACAGGTCAGGACTGGTCACGCCTCCTGTGCTCGGGCAGAACAACTTCGAGGAGCCAGTGGCACTGCAGGAGATGGACACAAGCAACGGGGTCCTACTGCCCTTCTACGATCCCGACTCCAGCATCGTCTACCTATGCGGCAAGGTGCTCGCGGCCGGGAGGCGAGAACAGGGGGCTGGACGAGATGTGGAGGGCCCCACCCAGCGGGTCTCTGAACCCACTGGTTTTGCAGGGCGACAGCAGCATTCGGTACTTTGAGATTACCGACGAACCACCCTTCGTGCACTACCTGAACACGTTCAGCAGCAAGGAGCCGCAGAGAGGCATGGGATTCATGCCCAAGCGGGGACTGGATGTCAGCAAGTGTGAGATCGCCAGGTCAGCAGCCTTTGTCCTTCCCACATACCTGCCTCTGTCCCCACTTCCCATCGGGGAAGACACCGGGGCTTCCCCATTAGCGTCATCCTTGGAAAAGAGAGCCTTGGGGAGGGGGTGTCCAACAGGCTTGTTTCCAGTGCCAGCCCCGGCGCTAACTAGCTTGACATTCTCTGAACTTAAGTTTTCTCATCTGTAAAATGATGATAAACACCCCATCAGAAGTGTTTTACCAGCCGAACCAATAATATGTTTAAAGTGCAATGCATGGTAGGCGCTCAGCAAGTGAGGGCCTCTCGCCCCTTGGTCCCAGGCAGAAGTTAAGGGGGTGGGAGCCTGCGGGGTTGCTGACCCCGCTCCCTTATAGGTTCTACAAGTTGCACGAAAGAAAGTGTGAACCCATCATCATGACTGTGCCCCGAAAGGTGAGGGGCCAGGAGAGAGGTTGGGCAGGGCTCCGAGGTGGGCGGAAGGGAGCGGAGCAGGCCCGGCACCCTGCTGACACTCGTCCTCCTGTCCCCCCAACCCCGCAGTCAGACTTGTTCCAGGACGACCTATATCCAGATACTCCGGGCCCCGAGCCGGCCCTAGAAGCGGACGAATGGCTCTCAGGCCAGGACGCCGAACCCGTGCTCATCTCGCTGAGGGACGGTTACGTGCCCCCCAAGCACCGCGAGCTCCGGGTCACCAAGCGCAACATCCTGGACGTGCGCCCACCCTCTGGGCCCCGCCGCAGCCAGTCGGCCAGCGACGCCCCCTTGTCGGTAAGATCCGACCTGGCTCCACCCAGCCGAGTCTACACATCCCCATACCGCCCCATGCCCGACACCGCCTCTTCTGTGCTCCGCGCCCCAGCAGCAGCACACCCTGGAGACGCTGCTGGAGGAGATCAAGGCCCTTCGCGAGCAGGTGCAGGCCCAGGAGCGGCGCATCACGGCTTTGGAGAACATGCTGTGCGAGCTGGTGGACGGCACGGACTAGCGCGGCGCGCCGGGGGGCAAGGCCGGGCCGGGCGCACGGTCTCGGCCCTGTCCCGACTTTTGGTCCGGAGCTCCGGACCCCGCCTCTCTGGGCTGGGGCCAGGGGCGGGACTGGGAAGGGAACTGCGCCCCTCGCGGGAGTCCTGGACGAACGGAGCGTCGCGGAGACTCGCGTCCGTCTGGCGCCCGCCAGGCTGTGTTCCTCATCCGGGACTCGGCAGGAGCTGGCCTTGGGAGGCCCGGGGTGACGAGGCCTCAGCAATGGTGCTGCACGGCGAGGCGGGGTTCCCTCTGTCCCCCAGCCAGGGCAGGGGAAGTGCTTAGTATTAGCGCGATGCTTGGGGATATTGGGGAGCTTGGGCTTGACCTCAAAGGGGTGGCGATTTGACGGGTCTCCCCAGCCTGGCTGGGGAAAATTACAACGCTTCTCCCTCTAATCAGCTCACTTGACTCCACCACCCCGAGTGGTAAACCGGACGTGCGTCACCTCAGTCCTCCAGACATACACAAGCCGTTGGCTGTAGAACCGGACCCCTTGGCTAAACCCAGCAGTCTATAGCAGAGGGCTCTTCTTTCCATCCGCAGGGGAGAGGGCGGCGTCCTCGCGGCACCCCCGCCGGAGAACTAACGAGAGAACTGGCATGAGGAAGCAGGTTCACACACTTCCTCTACACAGACACACACACAGACACACACAGCCCCTAGCCCTCTGCTGTGGCCTTGACTCTAGGAGGAAAACAACACGTACCGAATGAAATATCTTACTAAGCGCTCAGTCTGTGCCTCCTGCATGGGTGGGGGTGAAGGGTGGGGGTAAAACCCCCAGCCTCTGCAAATGCTACCTCCAGGCTCCCGGGGGGCCTGACGAATGCAACCCTGGGCTCAGGACCCGCCAGGCATCCTCTTACCTGGAGCCCTTTCCACACTGAGGTTCAGAAGGAACCTCCAACCCGCAGGTCTGTAGTGTTCTTCCCCAGTAAAGCTAGGTAGGAAAAGCCTCGGGTTTGAAGCCTCTTTTATTTGTGCCTCAGAATCAGTCTGGTGCCCCTGGCATCAGGGAAGGGGGTGAGAGGAACAGTTTCTCTTTGTTCTTTTCTTTCATCCTTTTTGTGTCCCTTCTGAGCCTCACTGGCTGAACCAGGAAGGCCAGTCCGAGAGAACCCGGACAAGGGTGTGCGGTGGGCCCCTGCCCCTGGCGGGGTCTGTGCTTCTCTGGGTGGGTGGGGTGGGGCAGGGGAGCGCCGGGGGTTAGCACCATTGGATGAAGGGTTTTAGAGTCAGCCCCTGGGTTGGGGCAAGTGGGACGCACAACCACAGAGGGCTAGCAGCAGCTGGTGGGAAGGGATGGGTGGTGGTGCCAGGGCCCTGGGCAACCCCTCTGTGTCCTGTCTAGTGTAGGGCCTAGTGCTTGCCCCCAGCCCAGTATTACCCCCATCCACAAAGACACCATGAGGGAGCCAGGCCTTGCCCAGGTCCGGGGGGCCACCTTGGGCACCCTCCCAGATCACAAAAACGTGGGATAGGGACTCCAAACCTCTGGCCGCCCAAAGAGAAGCTGGGACCACCCTGAGACCCGGGAGGGGTGTGGGGGCTGGGGGAACCGGGCACCCCGCTAAGTGCACTTGACGCTGAAATGCCGGGGTTGGGGAGGGGCTGGGCCCTTGACGTGCTGCTTCGTGTCTGGGACAAGCTGCAACACAGCACGTGGGGAGCTCAGCTGCCCCCCAGGGGTGAAGAGCGGAGATGCAAAGGCTTCACGGGCAGTGTCCTGGAGTGGGGTCAGTGAGCAGAAAGGAGGACCGGCCAGAAGGAGCAAGGGATGGGGACAGTGCTCCTGTAAGGACCCATCTCCCTCCTCAGGACCGCCTGGCTCCGCCCTTGGACAGGTCAGAGCCCAGGGAAGAGGAGTGGGGGTCAGGATACAGCAAAGCAGGGGGACCGGGCCGTGCCAGCTGCCTCCAGGGCCCTGGCCCGGAAAGGTACCCCGCGGCCGTGCCAAAGCCCTCCCCCTCTGGTGCCTGGGACGCCGCTAAGTCCCCGAGGCGGCCGCTCCAGTCTCCAGCCGCAGCTCGGCGGGCGCGCGGGCCGGGGCGGATCTGGCTCCCGGGCCGGGCACGCGTGGCGTGGCTGAGGGGCCCGGCAGTAGGCGCTACTGCTCCGTCAGCGACAGCCGCAGGATGCGCTCCAGCTCCTCCTCCTCCTGGCGCGCGCGCCGCCGCCGCTCCTCCTGCTCCTGCGCCGACAGCTCCATGGCCAGCCGCAGCTGCTCGTCGTAGCTCCGGAACGCGTGGCCGCCTGGGCCTGAGCCGGGGCTGGGCCGCGGGCTGGGGACCGTCGCCAGGGCGGCTGGGGGCGCGGGCTGGCGCTGCGGCGTGGGCGGGGTGCTCCTGGGGGCGGGTAAGATACGTCGCGGGCTCCGGGGCGCACCTGCCCATAAGCGGGGCCGGGAGACAGCGTGGAGGCCCCAGGACGGAGCGCCCCTCGCCACCCTCCAGTGGAGGCCATGAGTCCCGCGTCACCTCCCTGACTCCCAGCCTGTTGTGGCAGATCCCAGCCCCTACAAAACTCATCCTCCCAGTAGACGGCTGCCCAGAGTATGTGGGTATCTTCTAGAACCCCAGCCCCACACCCGGCTTGGTAAGGGTCTGACGACCAAGAGGCCTGGACCCTACTCCGTGGCCACTTTTGGAGAGCTGCTCACCCACCGAGTCAGGAAAGGGTGGTGGTAGAAGCCCTCTTGTTAACAGGGCACCACAGTTTCTCTGGGCCAAGAGGGGCTGCTCAGTTGGCACTGTCCTCACCCACTATGACAGTACTCTGTGCATATGTAGGGGCGTGGGGGGGAGGGAGATAGGCGTCTCCAAACTCTCTCAGGACTGGCAGGCACTGACCTGTCCTGTCGGCGACTCTCGCAGGACATGGGGTGAGTACCCGGCTTGCTGTTGGTTAGCGCCTCCCAGATGGTGACCTGGAGGGAGGGGGCGCGGGCCAGTTAGCTAGGACGGCCCACAGTCTGGAGGCCGGAGCGGCCACGGGGACGCACCTGGTCGTACTCACTGCCTGCCTCAAGCAGGCTCTGCTGGATGGCGAACTGCAGCAAGTCGTCATCGTCATCGCGGGTCGCCGCCTCCCGCTGGCCGCCCAGCACGCTGTAGCCGCGCGGGGCCTCGAACAAGGCGGGGGAGATCTCGCAGCCGCGGCACGAGGCTGAGGGTGCCGGGCTGGGGGTCAGACGGGGCCGGGCCCACCCCTTGGGCCTCCCCCCTGCCCCGGCGAGCGCTCTGCTGTGTAGGGGAGGGCAGGGGAGGGCGGGCTCGGAGAGGGGCAGCGGCTCACTCGTGGAACTGGAGCTGCTGACACTGGACGAGTCGCTGCCCGGAGAAGGGGTCTCGCTGCTGGGGCTGCCTCGCACCGACGGCACCGGCTCGTCGCAGCCATTGAGGTTCCCGAAGGTGATGCGGGCGTTGAGGATGTGGAAGATCGGGATTTCTGAGGATAAGGAAACCATCAGGCGCCACTACCCACCCCCTCACACCTTAGAACTCCCCCTTTACCTCATCTAAGCCCCACCCCCACCCCACCCCCAACTGGGGCTGAAAGGAAACGGCGGTGGGGTCTCACCAATCTTGACAGGGAAGCCTGGAGGCAGGCGCAGGGTAATGAAGTCCCGGAGCTTGGCGAAAAGCGCATTGCTGACGGCCATGAGGTCAATGATGGGGGCCACCTGCTCACACAGGGACAGGGGATGCTCCTCACACAGCCACAGCTTGGCCTTGAACCTGCCCCCACCAGATCCCAAGGGGTAAGGGACATTGTAGAAGCTATGGCCTCCCAGCACCTCTGGAGCCCCTGACCCCCTGCCCTGCCCGACCCAGCCCTCCCCAGCACCAGCAGGGGGCCTCACTTCTGTGTCTTGGTGGTCAGTTCCATGGGGCGGCCCATGTCACGGTTGCCAAGCTCAAAGTTGGGGTTGAAGTACTCTTCTGCGGTGATGGCAGTGGGGTTGGCTTGGCTCAGAGTCTGAGTGATCAGGGTCTGTACCACACGGGGAGGGGCCCAGGAGCCCTTCTCAGTTCCTGATGCCAGTCCAACCGTTTGGGATTCTGGGCCCCAGAGCTGTCCCCCCTGCTGCTGTGGAGCTGACGGGGCCTTGGGCATTGTGTAAAGGAGGTCCACACAGGCCACGCTAAGCAGGAGGCCTCCCAGGCCTCCTCCTGAGCCACATCCACACCCTTCCACATAGGGGAGCCCCTGGCACACACTCACCCCGTTTTGGGGGCCCCCATGCTGCTCAGCAATTCCCAGGAAGGACTGCAGAGGTGTCTTACAGCCTACAAGAAATGTGGCATCTCAGAGGACACTGCAGCCCTCAGAAGTGACAGCGCCTAAGACCTAGGGAGGAGGCTGGTTCCTGGGGGGGGGGGGGGGGGGGGGGAGGGGAGATTGCTCACTCACACCACACACCCAGAAACCTTCATCTGAAGGGGGTTCAGGACTCCAAGGGGCAGGGACCAGGGACACTATAAGCACAGCTTATAAAAGTAGGCCTGGAGCTCAGGAGAAACTTCCAAAAGTGTCACTCTCCAGGTTGGTGACACTGGACAAAAAATACCTGCGTTTGATAAGCAGTTTTGGGATATGCAGGTGTATGTGTGGGTTTTCCTTCAGGCACTTCCATATTAACGACTTCATTTTGTTCCCTTGTGAGGTAGGAGTTATGTCTTTCCACTCTAGACAGACTGACTGATGCCCAGAGAGTCAGATGTGGTATCAACAGGCACAGAGAATCAGTGGCAGGGCCCCCTGACTTTCTGCCTAGGGCATGTCCCACTAGACTAGAATGGCCAATAAATAGTATACACAGCATTTCTACTCCCTCCAAAATCCAATGCAGACATTAGTAATCAATTGTAGCATTCCTTCCCATTGAGCCCAAATGCCTTAGAATCTTCTTAGCAACACTCCAGGCAGCCACTATCAATCATTAGGATTTGGCACTTGAATTGAAACCGATTTGCCTAAATAAGCTATCCTGGCTCTCGCTAGGATGTCAGAGGAAATCCAATGGAGGCGCTCAAGTGGGAGCTCGTTCCTCACATCTCCCCGATCTACCTCGGCCTCATTACCTTTGACCTTGCCCTTGTGCTGTTCTGAAAGGTGCTCTGTCCGTGTCCGGGTGATGAGCTCCACGTTGGATGCCCCATATACCTGGAGACAGATAAGGAAAGGGCTCAAAGACAGCTCTGGTACCCCAACCCCCTGCCCCCAGAGGCACTATGAACACTTCTTGCATGGAAGGTTGGGGAGCTGCTTGCTCCTGTTTACTCCAGGACTTTGGGCAAGTAAATATATGAAGTCATTCATTTGTTCTCTTATTCATTCAACAAACATTTTGTGAGGAGGCTTTATGTGCCAGGCACTGAGGCAGGCATCAGGGATAGAGTGGTGAACAAGCAAGGCCAAACATGATCCCTGCCCTCTTAAGGCTCACAGTTGAGTTGAAGAGACAAGAAAATGGACAGTTATAACACGGTGTGATACACGCTCAGGTAGGGGGAACACAGGGCTGGGGGAACAAAAAGCAGAGGCCTCCCTGGCCTCCAGAACCAGGGAAGGCCTCCAGGAAGAAACAACAAAACAGAACCTTGCAAGTGTTTGTTAGTCCCTTCATTCATCGGCGGCACCATGTGGTCCACATGGGCGATGTAGGGGTCCCAGAGTGACCAACACAGTCTTCTTAGGGGTAAGGGCCTGGCCTTGGAGTCAGGCAGCCACGGGCTGAACCTTGGCTCTGTCACTTACAGCTGGGCGACCTTGTGCAGGTCACTGAGCCACTCCAGGCCTCTGTTTCCTCATCGTAAAATGGGCCGATACCCTACTTCATGGAGTTGTTTGAGGATTAAATGCGATACCATGGAAAGAGCTCAATAAACATCTGTGAAGTGGGAATAATAATAGACCTACCTGAAAGGGTTGTTGTAAGGATTAAAGGAGCGTGTGTGTGTGTGTGTGTGTGATATACACACATATATATACATATATGCGTGTGCGTGTTGTATATACATACATAGATGTATATAAAATGCCAGAACAGTGCCTTGAATATGAATACAATATAATAAGTGCTCAATAAACTCGGGCCAGTCTCATCGGTTGCCTCTTAGTCTAGGCCCTTCCCTCCATGCCGCATTGCTTCTGCACCTCCAAGGCTGAGAAAGGGTGGTCAGGAAACCCCTGCCCAGCTCACTGTAGGCAAGAGCGTGGCCAGGTCTGTGGCCTCACCTTGGCTTCATACCCATTCACCATCTCCGTCTTCTCACTGCGCCAGCCCAGGATGCCAGTCTTGTTCCTGGGGAGGCAGGGTGGTCCAGGTAAGGGGGCGCCTCACTGGACTGGCTCCAGGCTATCAAGGCCATGCCCACTCACCTCTCAAAGGAAATGTTCTTAGTGTCGAGCTGTGTGGTGACGACGGGCGCGGTGAGCCGGCTCAGCACCTGCTCCTCGGTGGGCTGGGCCGCAGCCAGCAGGAGCTCGCGGTCCTGCCCGGCCAGTGCCAGAGTCTCCGTGTACACCACCCGGCGGTCATGGTCAATCTCCATGACCACGGCACTTGTGTCTGCCAGCCACGGAACAGCACAGGGCAGTCAGGGATGGCATGGGGCTGTCCCCAGCCTCCCTGCCCTGCCCCACCTCCCTCCTGCCTGACCTTGGCCCCTGAAGACAAAGCTGCGGTTCCCTCGCTGCCACGTCATGTGGTCAAAGCCCAGGAGCGTGGTGTCTACCCGTAGGTTCTGCCCACTCTTCCACACTTTGTAGGTGTCGCTAGGGCAGATCTTGGACACGAGGGGCACTAGACGGAAAGGAAGGCCAGAAGTGGCTTCAGTGTGCCTGGTCCACCCGACCTGGGCCACCTCAGGGTGTGGGGATCAGGGTCAGTGGTGTGGCGGGGAAGGGGTGAGGGAACTGGTGGGAGAGCAGCTCTCCCCCGCCTCCCCCTACACAACTGTAGACTACAGTCACTCAGGGGTGAGCAACCTGAGGCTGGGGACAGGCATGTGCAGCCATCACCAAGTCCCTAGCATCCACCGTTTGTTAATTTACTCACTCAATCTTTCATCAGTCCTCCAACAAATATTTACTGAACACCTACTGTGTGCCAGGCACTATTCCAGTCAGTGGGGACACAACACTGAACAAGACAGGACCCCTGCCCTCTTGGAGCTTACCTTCTAGCAAGGGGTGGCAGGTAACAAACAAACAAATGAGCAAACCATTACAAAGTGAAAGAAATAATAATAATGGAATCGAGACAGTGTCTGAGGCAGCGTGGAAAGGCCTAGTTGAGGAGGTGGCATTGAGCTGAGAACTAAACAATGAGAAGGAGCCACAGGAAGAGCTATGGGAAGGGTGCTCCAGGCAGGAGGGGCAGCAAGTGCAAAGGCCCTGAGGTGGGAGAGTGCCCAGTGAGGCCCCCCAGTGCCTCTTACCCCAGCTGGTGAACTCCCACTTCATCTCCACATAGAAGTCCTGGGCCTGGAGGATGAGAAGGAGAGTAGCTAAGCCTGCACTAGAGACAGGGTTCAAGGGCTACAGTGGGAGGCTAAGGGGCTGGCCCTCACCTTGCGCAGCTTCTCCAGGAGCACGGGGATGCCCGCCAGCCGCTTCACCACGCGCTGGTAGTCCCGGTACCGCAGCACCAGCTGCACCAGCTCCAGGTCCCGGGTACTCACAGCCTCCTGAAGCACTAGGGGAGGGGAAGGCAATGTCACAGCACGGGACCCTGCCACGGGCTCCCTTCAGCCAACCAGAGGAGGGACTCTGATGCTGGGGAGCCCCTGGCTGTGGGGCCAGGGTGAGCAGAGGTGCCCACCTGTCCAGCCGCTGCGATTCTCCCTGCCCACGTCTGCCCCGTGTGCCAGGAGCACACGGGCACACTCGAGGTGCCCCAGGGTGGTGGCTAGGTGCAGGGGAGTCCGCCCACGGGGATCCAGCTGCTCGATGTCCACCTGGAGAAGGAGGTGAGGACGGAGACCTTGTCACTTCTGAGGCAGCCTATCTGAGCCCGAGAGACTCCAACCAGGCAGCAACCACGTGGGTTCACCCCTCCAAGACCCAGTGGGCTGCCTGTGAAGAGGAAGCCTGGGGCCGAAGGATGGTCGAATGAGGCTGTTGGCCTAGGATGGCACCGGAGACAGGACCTAACCTAGGGGTCCAAGACCACACCTTCAGGAAGGGCCACCAATTTAGGTCATTGACATTACCAGTGAGTGAGGCTTAGCAAAAGTTGCAGCAATACAATGATAGGAATGAAAGAACATATTCATGGTACAACTTCAAACCCACATCCTGTGCCCGTGGGACGTGATGTATTAACATTTTTTACAAATGTTATAAAAAATAGCATGACTACATTGTATGAGATTTTTGTTGGGTGATAAAAGCATATGTTTGTTCAACATAAATATTTAAATATATTTCAGGAGGCTAGGACTTCTAGTTAATTTAATGAACTGACCACATGCACGTAACTCCTCTCCTTCCCAAGGCTTGATTAAAATGCCAGGAACAGGCTTCTACTCCAACCATGATGAGGTAACTGAAATACCCTTCTGCCATAAACAGAGAAAACTGTTGTTTCAAAATATATGAAATAACTGTTTTCAGACACTAGGCAACAAGTAGACCAGGACTGTGATCCCTGAAGTAAGAGAAACAAATGAGGTGGGCCCTGTGATTGCCTGGATTTCTACCTGGAGGAACATTCCAGACTGCAATTCAGGGAGGGGAATCCCCAGCAGAGTGTGTAGTCTACTGAGGGGTGGAGCACATAGAGACAGGGGATAAGGGAGGCTGACATAGCTACAAGTTGCAGGGCAGAGTTCCAGGAAGGAGGGAGCTATGCAAAAAAACAAAAAAGAGCTCCAGGAATCTGCATGGGGTACCTTTGCATCTTTGCTGAATGCTAAATCAACAAGACCAGGCAGAAAGAAGCAAAAAGCTGACAAATTCTCAGGGCTCACCCAGGGCAGGGATGCATTCAAGCTCCGACCTGCTGGAGTGGAGAGTGCTTGTTGTGTCCCCAGGGTATTCGACAGAGACCTGAGAAGGTCTCAGTAGGAGGGCTGAACTATCACTGCAGAAAAGGCTCACCTAGACCCAATCTAATAAAGATGAAAAACTAACTCAAAAGGATCAAGCTGATTTGCCAGTAATTTAACTTAGTCTGCCAGAACAAAGCCTAACACTCTTTAAAGAAAGACAAAAAATCCAGATGCTTAACATCACAAGATTTACAATATCCAACATCCAGTTAAAAATTACTAGACATTTGGGGCCAGCCCGGTGGCATAGTGGTTAAGTTTGTGCTCCACTTTGGCAGCCCAGGGTTTACCAGTTCAGATCCCAGGCACGGACCTACACACCACTTATCAAGCCGTGCTGTGTGGGCATCCCACATATAAAGTAGAGGAAGATGGGCACGGCTGTATTTCAGGGCCAATCTTCCTCAGCAAAAAGAGGAGGATTGGTGGCAGATGTTAGCTTCGGACTACTCTTCCTCAAAAAAAAAAAAATTACTAGACATTTGGGGCCAGCCCAGTGGCATAGTGGTTAAGTTTGCGTGCTCTGCTTTGGTGGCCCTGGGTTCACAGGTTCAGATCCTGGGTGCTGACCTATACACCACTCATCAAGCCATGCTGTAGCAGCATCGCACATACAAAATAGGGGAAGATTAGCACAGACGTAAGCTCAGTGACAACCTTCCTCAAGCAAAAAGAGGAAGATCGGCAACAGACGTTAGCTCAGGGCCAATCCTTTTCACCAAAAAAGGAAAAAGAAATTACTAGACATGCAAAGAAGTAGGAAAATGTGACTCATAATTAGGAGAAAAGTCATTTAATAGAAACACATTATATTCAGAAATAATAAAGATGATGAATGGCTCGATATGCTCAGGAGTTTAAAGAAAAACAAGAATGCAATGTGGAAAGAAATGGGAGATAAGTACAATATCTGAAATGAAAAATTCATTGGATGGCATTAACAGAAGATTAGACACTACAGAATAAAAAAATCAGTGAACTTGAAGACATAGCAACAGAACTATACAAGCTGAAGCACAGAGGAGGAAAAAAGTACTAAAAACACATTCAAAGAGCCTCAGCAATCTGTGAGACACTATAAGGCATTCTGACATATGCGTAATTGTAGTCCCAGAGGATAGGGTAAGTAAGTGGGTAAAAGGAGACAAATTTAAAGAAATAATAGCCAAAATTTTTCCAAATTTGATATATATTAAAAAAAAAAACAAACCTATCATAGTGGGTTGAATGGTGGTGCCCTTCAAAAATATAAGTATACATCCTAACGCCCAGAACCTACGAACGTGACCTGGATTCGGGACACTGACCTGAGGGTGAGGTCACGGGGCTGCAAACAGTGAAAGCCTGGTCCCTTCTCAGCCTCAGGTCCTCAACCACTGGCAGCCAGACTATGCACATCACTGCCCCATCCTACCGCTCGCAGGAGGTTGGAGAATTCTTCCTTGGAGAAACTAGAGGCACCAAAGACCTCTGTGTACAGACATTTGGGGATCCTACCACAGGCAGGCCAGCTTGCCACCCAATCATCTTACAGCGGCACTGTGCATCAGCAACTCCTCACCTCCATTCTTAGATTCGCCCCAACAGCCAAGGGTGACGGGATATTTGAGGAAAATCGCCAACTCGAAAGAGACCAAAACATGCAAATAGATGCTAAAAACCCAGAGGGAACACTGTCAATGCAGGAAACAGAAGAAAACTTTTTAGGGGGAAGATATCCTATGAAAAATATGAAAAAATAATTTACTTCATGAAACAAAGTGGGACATCATGACTGATGCGGGCTCGGCAAGCCGAGGAGTCGAAAGAAAGACTTCTTGGACTCTCAAGGTCTGGCAGTAGTGCTCTTTTATTCAGAGAATAGCATGGGGACAGGACCCATAGGCAGTGAAGAGCTGCAAACATGGGCTGAGGGTAGGGCTAAATTTATGCGGCATAGGTATGTGAGTTATCTCTTTACAAGACACTCTCCTCTTCCCCTCGCTTCCTTCACTCCAGCCGATCCTGGACAGCTGCATCTGCCCAGTCCTCCCACCACAGTAAACAGTACCTCAATTCACTCCCTTTTCAGGTGAAAAACGTTGGAACTGTTTTCCTCTCTTCCTCTCCTTTCACCTTCCAAATCTAATCCATCAGCAAAACCTGACCTTCAAAATAGATCCAGAGTCTTCTTAGTTTCCATCACCTCAGGCTACCATCCTGGGCGTCGGTAGCCACGCCATCTCTCACCTGGTGTCCCCGTGGCCTCCTCACTGGTCCCTTCACGCCTCTCTTGGCTCCTTAGATCTATTCTCCACATAGCCCATTGTGGGGACCATCATCCTGTGAAATGTTTGTCAGTCCTGACGCTTGTTACCTCAAAACCTTCTTGTGGCTTCCCATCCTGTTTAGAATAGAATCCGACAGCCCTGGACGACTCTTTGAACTCATGCGGCCTCCCACCTCTGCTCCAAATGCCACTCCCACACAGCGGCCTTCCCTGGAACCACCTTCTCCTGGATACCCTGGAGAGCCACTTCACTCAGATCACTGCTCAAATGTCACCTCCTTACAAAGAACTGCCCTGACAACCCATCTTAAATGACAGCTGCTATTTATCTATTTATTGCGCCTTATCCTGCTTTTAGTTCTTGTCCAACGTTAAATTGCTTGTTTGGTTTTTCATTGTCTCCCTCATCTAGCGGTAAGCCCCACAAAGGGAGGGTCCCTGTCCGTTCTCTTCAGTGCTATACCTCCAGTCCCTAGACAACGCCAGGCACGTAACCGGTGCTTAAGAAATATTTGTCAAACAAACGCATAGATGACTATATTTAAGGGGCATGGGGGGGGAAGCAATAAAGTGTAAAACTGATAAACCAATAAATAGCTGTAGAAGTATGCTGTTTATAATTATGGAGGGAAATAACAAAACAGCCTAGAGTTCAAAGTGGTCGCCTCTGGGCAAAGAGATGGTGAGGTACGGACAGGAAGAGCGGGGACTGCTGCTTCTCGCTATAAGCCTTCTAGCCAAAGGTAAATATTTTAAAACATGAATCCGAACTCCTTTGTCAAAAATAAAATATTTTAAATAATTTAAATTATTCATATAACTTTTATAACTCTGTGCTGGCATTTCTCCATCTTTAAATATACTAGGAGCCTCAAAAGAAAAGTGAGCCTGGCCCCTGTGGCCCTCTGAGCCGGGCTTGGAGACGCGAGCCGCTGCCCTGCAGCTCCCCTACACCAGCTCCCCAGAGGAGGGGAGCACTGTTTACTCTTTGCCTATTATGAGTTGGCCTGGGCCCCTTGGGGTCTGTCCCCACTGGGGTCGTAAGCCCTGGGGTGGGAGTGGTGGAGGATCCACAGACCCTGGGCTAGCTGGGGAAGTCAGGAGGAGGCCTTCCCAGGGGGCTGCAGATGAACCATCCATGCCTCCCACCAGCCCTGCCCCACATGCTGCTGCTGCTGCTGCTAACAAGGCCCCGGGGAGCTGGCAGGGCACCCCGCCCGGCCCCAGGGCGCCAGGTGCTGCCTGCCACCTCCCCCTCAGGTGCCTCAGCTCTAGGTTCCAGAGAGATGCTGGCACTGCCTGCTGAGCAGGGGTGCCCCTCTCCACCCCCACTCCTCAGGAGCTCTCCCGACAGCCCTCCCTAGCGTCCCCAGGGCACTGCTGTTTTCCAGGGCCGAGGTGGGCCCTGCATACACCCAGCCAAGCCCCAGAGAAGAAGCTCCCCCATCCGCCCAAAGCAGAGCCTGCAGTGGAAGTGGCACCTTGCCCTGGGCCCAGGTGGGAGAATTCATTAACTTCCTCTGCAGCCATTTAATTGCTGGAATGAAAAGGTTTCCCATGAAACCCAACACCCAGGCTTCCTCCTGTAGAGAACGGAAACTCCGCACCCCAGCAGGCCTCAGCTGGAGTCAAAAGCAGGGGTCCTTCGAGCTTAGGAGCTGGGGCTCCCTGGGCAGAGCCTCCTTGCTGCCACTCAGGCACACACCTACACACACACACACACACACACAGGTACCATAAGGATACACACTCATACTCCTGCCTCCATACTCACAGTACATGTGCACCACTAAGTGTACAAGCACATGCACGCCCAGCTGCCCTCTGGTTCTGCAGGGGTCTACTCACGTATAACACACGTGTTCGTTGCCAGCACATTTGCACATGCATACCTCCTGAACCCACATGCACTAGTGGGGTATTTTTCAAGCTTTTTTAGCACTAGCAGAATCCTTTTGTAGGTAAAATCTTACAAGGACGTACCAAATGTACAGACTAAGCCTGGGGGCTGGAGAGGGAAGGCAAGGGGCCCAGAGGGTGGGGCCTCGCATACTAATAAGCCTTCTCTCCCTTCCCTGCCCTCCTCCCTCCTCCAGCCCCAGGGAGAACAGCCAGAGTCTGGTGTGGTCACTGGTCACTGCTTCTCAGCTCTTCCACCCGATGTGAGGTGTAGGGCCAGGTACGCCTGAGCTAAGGGGGAGAGAGGCAGGATGGTTCCCCAAGCTGAGGTGGGCAGGTGGGGGTAGCAGGCAGACTCTCCCTCCACCCGCCCCCTCCATCCTGCCCCACGTAGCCCCTCCCCCTCATCCCAGACACATTGATTTTTGGTTTCTGGGATTTGTGGATCTCTCTCCTGAGCTTCCCAACTCACCAGCTGTGGTGACAGCCCATACCCGGGACTGCCCACTTTAGGGAGAAAGGAGATCACAGGTGCTCCTGGACACAACAGGTACTGTGGGTGCGGCAGCCTCTGTCTGAGCATCCAGGGGCCCCACAATCCCATGTCATCTCTAGGTCAGAAGGAGGAACTGGGAAAAGGAGGAAGGAGGGCCATGGCGAGGTAGCCCCTGGGACCACAGTCTGGCCCCTCCAGAGTGCCTGTTGCCAGGGGAAGACTCCTGTCCCCCTCCGTCTTCCCACAGGGAGCTTTACAGTCTAACTTCCACCTCCCACCACAGGGAACACCAGGGACTCGTGACTCCAGAACCGGAGCCTCGCCAGCCAAGGGGGTAAGGGCACATCACTGGCCTACAACCCCCCGTCCTTCCCAACCTGGCAGGCACCTGAATGGCAGGAAGCAGGGCAGCAGCAACCTTTGTACTGTTGGGTGCCAGCTAGAGGTGGCCATGAAGCCTTCCTTTCCCCAAAAAACACCTGCTGAGCACTTCCCATCCACCCGCCACCCCCTGCTTCCCGCCCCCCAAAGAGCTACTGGGGGGCTGAGCAAAGCCCACGAACCTGCTCTGAAGCCTGCCATGCCATCCCCCTCCTCAGCTGGCCAGCATTGCCAAGCCTGCCCACGGGAGGGCCTCTGCGGGGCTTTCTTGGAAGGAAGAAGAGGCAGCTATGCCAAGCGAAGACCAGGGAAACCCAGCTGCTGTGTGCTTGAGGAAAGCCTGGCTGTTTGCTGTGACAGTTGGTGCCAAGAGGACCAGAGGTCAGGGACCCCCAGCTGCAATGCCTGGAGTCTAGGGGGTTTCATTACCATGTGAGGTGGCTGCCTCCAGGCCCCTCCCCTGCAGGAAATGGCTGGGTCGGGCGCCCTCAGCTCTCCCTGGGAACCCGATGCCCTGAGGACCGAGCAGTGCACATTTGGATGCAAACGTCAGTCTGGGTCAGTCCTGGAGTTGGGATACAGTCCGGGGCCCCTGCCACCGAGTCTGATTGGCATTCCCCTTCTTGCCACCCCCAGAGCCAAGGAGAGCACCGGCCTGACTCCTTTGTGGTTGAACAAGGGTTAACCACAGCCAGTGCCCTATATTCCTCCTGGCCTGGATCAGGGCAGGCGGTGTCCATTTTGAGGAGACACTAACACACCAGGGCAGGGGGACGGGAGGGTAGGGACAGGGGTGAACCTGGTGCCTGGTTTCTGTGGCAGCCTGAGGGGAGCACAGAGGAACACACTCAGCGGCCCCAACTGCCCCCACGTGCAGCAGGTTCCAGTGCTCCCCCCCTCAGCAAGATGGCTGCTGACCTGAGTACTAGCAATCCAAGAGGCCTGAGTGAACGGCCTTTTCTTCTAGGGCATTTTGCCTCTCTCCAATCTCTGCAAGAAACAGACCACCCACCTGGGCCAGGGAGTGCAACTGAGCCATTCTGGAGATTCAGCCACTAGCCTTCTGCCTAACGATCCTTCAACCAACCATCAACCATCCCATCGGAAAGTTCCTTAGATCAGACTCAAACCCTGCCGGCTGTAACCTCTCTCAGAGGCTCGTCTTCTTTTGCCCTCAGGGGAGGAAAGCAAAGAAGGGCCAGAAGAGAACGGGCTGTCTGTGTCTTGGCACCCTGCACATCACACTGAACCTCCCTGTTCACACTCGCATCACAACAATGGGGTGTCCTTGAGGGCAGGGGCTGTGCCTGGTTTGTTCATCTTTGTCCCCCAGGACCTACCACTCTGACCTCACTTCCTTTACCAGGCCTCTATGGCTGAAAACTACTTCCTTTATGATGGATAAACAGAGACACAGTCTGACGAGCAACTTGGAGCATCCTTGTGTAAGTGGAGGTAGAATGGACGTGGACACCCCGACCAGCCCAGAGGCTTGGAGGCTCAGGTCACCCCAACGTTTCCTGGGACTGCTATGCAGAGCTGGGTGCCGTGCTGGTCTGAGGGCTCAGCGGAGGACTTCAGAGACATACTCTGACCCTCACCTCACTCACTGTCTGGTGATGTCCTGCTCTCCACCTCACTCTTCCCTTGGGAAGCAGACAGCTCCTCAAACTGAACTTCCTGTGACTCAGGAAATGGCCCTAAAAAGGCATATTCCCAAAGGGGACAACTCCTGCGTGAACCACTCCCAGCCCATGACCCCAGGGTCTCAGACCTGGGCCAAGTCTGTGGGCTTCAATCTGAGCCAAACCAAGGCAGGCTGGGTCCAGCTCTGGCTCCTGCTTCTCCATTCTAGAGGGCGTTCTGTCCACGCTGTCCAAGCCACGAGTGCCTACCTGTGGCCTGGGGGCCAAGGGCAGAGTTGGGAGCTACCTGTGACCAGTGCCTGCCTTGGTCCTGAAGAAAGGCCAGGAGATCCCATCCCTTACCCGATCTTCTTGGAGGCCATCGCCCAGCCAAAGCTTGCTGACCCACCCGTTCTTACTGACTAGCAGGAACTAGGGAGCCCGCTCTGTGTGCAGAACCTCAAATCCTTCCCGAGGCCAGTGGCTAGGGGCCTCAGCGCCTAGAAGCCAGGACCCAGCACCAGAGGGCAGGAGAGCGCCTTTCAGCACCTGGACAAGGCCCTTCAGGGTTTCCCCAAGAGGGTCTCTCTCCCCTCTCCATTTCTGAGCCGCCGCTGGGGTCTGAGGGATGCAGGCACTCTGCCCAGTCTGAGCAAACAGATTAAGCGCTCACCATGAGGGTGGAGGGCACTGGGTGGGGCTGGCATGCCTGGGAGTGTCACAGCCTATTCTCTGATCCTTGACCTGTGACCCCCTCCTTACGCAGGCCTTGCCCACCTCCGCGCACTCACGCGGGAGGTGTCGCTGCTCGGCTGAGTGGGGCGGACTCTCCCACCACATGGAACACAGACCGAGCCGGCAGCCCCTCCCTGCAGCCCTCCCTGCCCCGGCAGAGGAGGGGCACAGAGTCCCCTACCCCAACCTGGGAGGGTCCGGAACACGTGTGGGCCGCCGGTCCGGGCAGGAGGGGAGCGGGCGGGGGCCGCTCCCATCACCCTCTCCCGGTCAACAAGCACAAAAGCTGCGGCTGCGAACAAAGAAGCGCTGCAAACTCGCTGGGAGGCGGGACAGCCCGCGCCGCGCCCCCTCCCCACGCCGGGCGGGCGTGCCCAGCCGTGGGGTCCCCGCGGCGCCCGACGGCGCTCTTACCTGGCCGGCGCGGACCTCTTTCTCCAGCTCGCGGTGGCGGTTGTGCCACACGAGGTAGTGCAGCGGGTACTTGCCCTCGGGCCCCTTCCTGGCGGAGGCGTTGGCGGGGATCATCGCCCGCTCCTCATGCCGGGGCCGCGGCGCCCGGCCCGGGAGGAGGGACGGCGCCGGAGCCGGGGCCCGGGGCCGCGGGGCGGGGGGCCGGCGCTGCCTGCTCGCAGGGCTGCGGCTCGGGCATGTGCGAGCGGCGCCGGCGGGCGGGGGCGGCGCGCCCGGCGCGGTGCGGGCGGCGCGGGCCGCGGGCGTCCTCGCGAGGCGGCGGCGGCGGCGGGCGGCGCGGAGAGGCCCCCACCCGCCCGGGGAGGGAGCGGGCACTCGGCAGCGCGGCGCGGACTCGCGCCTCGCCTCCCACACCCCCGCACACAAAGACGCCGCTCGGCGGAGAGAGCAGACGCCCGCAGCGGGCGCGGGGGCGCACGGGGCGCGGGCCCCGGGGACGCCGCCGCCGCCGCCGCCGCAGGGACGCGCGCCCGCAGCCCCCGGCTCCCCGCAGCTGCATAGCCCGGCCCTCAGCCCGAGCGGCCGGCGAGGGATGCGGGGATGCGGGGGGAGAGAGGAGGGGGACGCGGGTGCCCCGGACAGAGCTTGTTATAGCTCGGCCCCGCGGCATCATGGGGCTTGTAGTCCGCCTCGTGGAACTGGGGGTGGGGGGTGGCCGGAGAGAGTCCCGCGCTGTCCCCTTGATCCCATGACAGGGCGGGAAGGGAGTCAGGCCTGGCCAGAACGGAGGCAGTGTCCTCACGCCAGGTGGTCTGGGGCGCACCCCCACCCGCTGGGCTTTTGCCTTTCTCTGGGGAGGGAGGGGGCAACAGACCTTCCTCAAAGCATCAGGCCGTGCGGGAAGGTGTGGCCTTCAGACTGAATTTTGGTCCCAGAGGAGGGATCTAGATTCCAAGAAAAGAGTAAATGATGGAGGGGACTTCTAAGAAAGGTGCGAGGCATTGGTCCCAAGGGTCATTGGAACAACCAGGGGTCCGGCACCTGAAATATTATGCAGGAGTCTTCCCTTCCCTCTGAGAAAACTAAGCGCCTTGGGGCCAGCCCGGTGGCGCAGCGGTTAAGGTCGCACGTTCCGCTTCTCAGCGGCTTGGGGTTTGCCGGTTCGGATCCTGGGTGCGGACATGGCACCGCTTGGCACGCCATGCTGTGGTAGGCGTCCCACATATAAAGCAGAGGAAGATGGGCATGATGTTAGCTCAGGGCCAGTCTTCCTCAGCAAAAAAGAAGAGGACTGGCAGTAGTTAGCTCAGGGCTAATCTTCCTCAAAAAAAAAAAAAAAAAACTAAGCTCCATCTTCTAACTAAGCTCCATCTTCTACACTTAACATTGGAAGGAGAATGTCCACTAAGGACAGCCCCCTCCCCCCATTCCCCCCATACGCCCCCATTCCCCCCATACGCTGTCCTCTGCAAGGACCAGAGAGGGGCTGGGTAGAAAAAGCAGCAGGTGGCAGCTCCTCAACTTCACCCTATGTGGTCTCCCCAGGACAAGAGACTGATTCCAGAGACCGGCTCCTTCGGCTCCTTCCTGAATAACTCCAGAGTAGAGAGGTTCTTCCAGAAAGGTTCCTGCAGACGCTGTGGTAAAAGTGAAATTGGCTCTGGGGCCGCCTATTGCAAGGGCTGGAAGGACCTAGAGGGTCGGCCCAGTGCTTGGAGGGAGGAAGGACTGGAATGATGGGCCTGAGTTCCAATTCCACCTTATTAACTGTCTGACCTTACCTTAGGCAAATTGCTTAAATTTTCTGGTTTCTCAAACCACTCACCTGTAAAATGAAACTAAATACTACCTCCTGGGGTGAGCTAAGGATAGTAACTGCCTTGGAAGTGGGGCATGCCTCCCCCAACCAGGCCACTGAGACAGGTGGAGGGACCAGGCACAGTGCCTTCTTGAGCCCACCTTAGAACAAGTCGGGAATAAGGGATTCCATATCAGCCCTACTTAGAGCAATCCAAGAAGTGCTTGTGTGGGAGGTGCTAGCAAAAGCTTGCAAACTCTCCGCGCCCCCCTCAGGTTTCTTTGTGTGGTCTTCTCTCCTTCCTCCTCCATACTCTGCGGTGCCAGGCCCGGGCGGGAAAGGATGAGGTAGGAGTGGACTGCCTCGCCCCTTTCTCCAGCCTGGGCGGGGCCAGCGGGCGTCTCCGGCAGCCGGGGACCGCTGCCCACCTCTACCACGAGAGGTCAGCAGAGTGTCGTGGCTGCAGCCGGAGTTGGGGAGGGGGCTGGAGCGGAGGAGGACCGGCTAGGAGTGGCCGGGAGAATGCCCGTACATTTCCTCATTAAATTGTTTTTAGAACCTTGTGCGTGATTTCTCTTTAACCGTCCTGCTTCCTGAGGTGGCGGTGTCTCCAAAAGGAAATTCAGAAACCCGTTTATCCCTAGCCCCTGGCCGAGAAGCTCAGCTGTGGCAGGGCTGGGGGTTTGGGGAACAAAGTTGGGAGAGTGGATCTTTGCCTGCGCCACACCCGGGTGTTCCCCGGGCCGACCAGAAGATGGGGGGTGGCGGGTAGCGGATGAATCGTGTTCTTACCCGGAAAAGTCTTGGAGTTGAAGGACTGGGGGAGCTCAGCCTGAATTGGAAGACCTATCCCCTGGGCAGCCGAGCTCTCTTTTTGCCAGGCGGCCCTAGACTCTAAACCCAGGTCGTTTTTTCCTCCGGCCTGAGCGCTCCAGCTGCCACGTGCTCGAGACGCGCCTACACAGCAGAGAAACAAAGACAGCCAAGCGATGGGACTGCCAGCAGCCGCCTCGACATTTAATAAATGAAATTCCATAGCTGGGGGTCGATCGGGGGTGAAGGGGCGGCCACTGCTCGTGGGCTGTATGCCCGGTAAGGGCGGCCTGGCCCCTCCTCCCGTCGCCCGGGATGGGGCCACCAAGCCCATGGACTGACTCCTCGGTGCGGGTGCGGGTGCAGCACGCGGCGGCAGGTGGTGCCCCCGCCCCCCGCCGTCCCTCCTCCCTGCGAGGTATCTTTGCTCGCAAAAGCCCTGCCAGCTGAGCGGCTGGCTGTGGGGGGAGGGGAGGCCTGCAAGAAGAAATTTTTTAAAGGTGCGATTATAAATATACCTCGTGGATCGCGATTTGAAACAAACTTGTCAATCTGGGCTGCAGTGAAAGGCGATGGAGGCAGCTTTGCATGTATTTCTGGTGGTGTGACTCATGAGCATTACTTGTCTCCCCCAGGGAAGCAGCCTGCCCACCCACAAGTCACTGCTGCTCTGGCACCGCTGGGATAAAATCGACCAACTCCGGAACCTCTGTCCAAGGACTCCCCTCCTCCCCCCTTGTTACTGAGTAGGACTCCCTCCTGCTTAGGAACCCTCCCTTAATCGTGTCACCACAGATCTGGCCCCCAGGCCTGGTCCCGGGCACCCAGGTCCTCTCCCCAAAAGCAGAGCGCTCTGGCCTTTTGCTCTTGCAGGGATGGGGGCTGGGTGCACGCGGGGCCCACGTGTATGGGGGAGCATGCTCAGTGCAGGGGTGCACCCACGTGCGGCCTGCGCCTCCGCTCCCTGTCCCCCCACCTCTGCTGAGTCTCCCTGTGAAGTCCAGGAAGAAAGGCCACCACAAAAAAAAGGTCCCTGTATATTACGTGCGCGCACCCTGGACACACACCTCTGGTGACCCAGAAACAACGTGGATGTGTATAAGACGGATGCCAAGTGGATATTGCTGCACATAGGCACAGTGGTCACTCCTCGGGAGGCCTTTAAAAACTGCCCAGATTCTTTCATTTCTGGATGGAAGCGTGGAGGAGGGATAGATGTATTTTTAGCCTGGAGGCAGGGGGATACACTGCATGACCTCTCTGGCACTTGGGCGTCCATATTGTTGGTGGTGTGCTTAATCAGCAAGGGTGTGACCACACACACCGGGACACTCAGATGTGGATAGAGAGGGGACGAGGACGCACATCTCACCCCAAGCAGAGATAGGCGGGCACCCCAAACCACAGCTCCTTGCCGAGGAGGGGGGCCTGGGCCTCCAGCTCCTTGTTCTCTTCCCTGATTCCGAGGGGTCACTGTCCCTGGGCCCTGAGCCCCCTGGGCCACTCTCCGTCTCGAAAGCGAAGGGGCCCTGAGGGTGACTCACATTACCTTCGGGCCAGGGAAGCGCTGGAGCCGAGGCCAGGGCCGCAGGCGAAGCTGCCCGCTCTGGCCGGCGGCGACCGCGGCCCCTTTAAGCGCCCCCGCCCGGCCGCCCGCGCGCGGCTTCCTTTCTCCGGGAGGCGCGGCCGGCAGGGCCCGGCGGCGGGCGGCGCGCGGGCTGCCCCTCCCCCGGTGGGCCGGGCCTGCGCCGCTTCCTGCAGGAGCGGCCGGGAGCCGCGCAGGGGGCGGGGAGAGCGAGCGGCGAGCGGCGGCGGGGCGGCGCGGGGTGGCGCGGGGCGGAGGGCGCCCGAGGGCGAGCGGGCGGGCGGGCACGGCGGGTTCCGGGCCAGCCCCGGGGCGGACGGTTGGCCGGGCGCGCGGAGCCTCGCCGGGGCCTTGCCGGAGCCGGGCCGGGCAGCAGGGGCTGCCGCCGCCCGGGCCCGCCGCCCGCGCCCGCGCCCCCCACGCTGGCCCAGAGGGCTGCGGCCGCGTCGCCGCTGAGGATGTCCCGGAAGGGGCCGCGAGCGGAGGTGTGTGCGGACTGCAGCGCCCCGGGTAAGCGGGCCGGGCCGGGGGCGGGACCGCGCACCGAGGCCGCCGCCGGGCGGGCGCCGGGGCCTGGCGGGAGCGCCGTGCGGGGCCGGAGGGCGGGGCGGGGCTGGGGGCTGCGGCCTCCGGCCTCGGGCTTCTGCCCCCGCCTGGGCCACTGCGGAGCCGCGTCCTTGGCGGGAGGGCCGGCCCGGGGGGCCCTTGTTCCCTCGCGTCCATGGACGAGCGAGGAAGGACATTCCCGGCGCCGCCTCCCACCCCTCAGTCTGAGGGAGGCGGGCAGCTAGTTGCCCCCCCTTCCATCTCCGTATCCAAACGGAAGCGCCAGCCTGGGGTGGCCGGAGGGCTGTGGCGGAGGCCGGCAGGGTTTAGGAGGTGGGGGCGAGTGTGGTTTTGTGTCATCTCAGTGCCACCCCCGCGTCTTGCACCTGCTGCTCGCATGGTCTGCGCTCCCGCCGGGGTGGCGGAGGGCAAGGGGTAGAGAGCTGGACAGATGGGCCAGGGGGGCCTGGA